TGGCTGAGCCTGGGGCCTGGCTGTGTCTTCTGCCATGAGTCTAGGCCCGCAGGTCACATTGTAGCCCACAAACCTTGTGGAGTTCTGCACATGCCACACTCTCCCATGCCTCTGAACCTGCATCCACACCATTTTCTCTGCCCAGCCTCTGCTCCAGGCTCAGACCACACTGGGAATCACAAGTGCTTGGGAGACAGTACGGTGCAGTGCTTGGCAGGTAGCTGCCAAAGGGAATGTCCCAGCTCTGAAGCCCAGAGCTGTGTGGCCTTGGGCTCGGTTCTTAACCTCTCTTACCTCAGTAGTCTCACCTATCAAATGATGTGACAGTAATTAATTCATGGCAGTTTTAGAGTATTAAATGACTACTAAACACATGTAAAGGGCTTGTGATAGCGCCTGGTGCATCTTGAGGGCCTGAGAGTGCAGGCTAGTAGAAGTACTGTTGCTTCTGTGTCTGCCCAGTGAGCATGCACCACCTCGTCTGTAAATAGAAATCATTTATTTTAAGATTTATATGCATTAAAACATGAAAAGTGCTTAGCACAAGCCCTGGCACATGGTGACTGCTCAGTCAGTGTTCGCTATTATTATCCTTGAATGCCCCTCTGCTCTGCAAGGAATGCCCCAGAGTTGGCTATAGACCAAGAGGTCAAGTGGAGCTGTCTAGTCCCTTTGTCTGTACTAGGGGTCCCTGAGGAAGGGTCTTTGTCCACCACGGCTGCCTTTACTACCAGCACCGTCACCCACAACTCCTGGACTCAAGGAAAAGGCAAAGAGCTCTGAAACAGGGGGTGGCCCCACTTGAAGAAAACTCACTTTGCAAATGCCAAACATTAAAAGAAACAACTGTTTATAGTGTGCTTGCAACAGAATCATAAGGTAGTACTTTTTATATATCAATGAATAAACCGATCAATCAACCATTCACTTTGGCTTCATGGGTTACTAATAATGACTCTCCTGGCCCATTAAAACAAAATCCATTCCACTTAAAAGAATGAAGAAGGAATGATAAAACCAGAACATTGCCACTGTGTAACCCCTAATGACAGGACAGATCTAGGCATGACCATCGATGACTAACCGACATCACCAGTGATGTCAGACAGCCAGGCAGAAGTGAGCCTCTGGATGGGAGAACACGAAACCACGCGTGAATTCTTACCAAAAAAATAAAAAAATAAAAAATAAAAACCTAAACCTATATCTGATCAATTGGTGAGATTTACATAATTTATGGGGAATACAAAGAACCGAGAACAATGTTAAACTATACCAAATGGGCCCAATCAGCAAAATTCAACTGTGGGAAATTCTATAGCACCCATGACCTGGCTCTCTCAAAGAGAATAGCAAGAGAAAAATAAAGATGAAGAGGGAAACTTATAGATTGAAAGAGAATTAAAAGACTCATCATCCCACTGTAATGTGTGAGCTTTATCTGATACTGGATAAAACAAACTGGAAATAAAGGTATTTATATTTGTGAGACAACTAGAAATTTGAACACTGACTTGCTATTTGCTGATATCAAGGAATTGTTGAATTTGATGATATTAAGAAATTGGTTTGGTGGTAATGTTAAAAGCGTTCTTATCTTTTAAACTGAGAAGTATTTTGACATATTTATGGCTGAGTTGATGGGATATCTGGCACAGGCTTCCAAATCACACAGAAGGAGGGAAGTGATGAGGCTGTGGATGGGGCCAGCTGGGCCGTGTTGGAGTGCTGGGTGATAGGTACATGGGGTTCATTGTGCTATTCTAAACTACTTCTGTGGGTGTATCAAACTTTCCATAATAAAAAGTTCATTAAGAAAGGCAGCTCATAAAAATTCAGTCTGCCTTCTGCAGCCCTCAGAACTGACGCATTGGGGTCTGTTATTCCAAGTTCTGGCCTGGTCCCCGAGTCTTTCACTTGGAGAAGGTGTGAGTCTTGTCTCCTGGGTCAAGAAGTGTGTTTCCTGAGGGCAGAAGTCCTGGCCTCGGGCCTGGCAATATTGGAAATTGCAAAATAATTTAACTGGGTAGGTGAATTTTTTGAGATGCAGAAAATCTAATCTTAGAATGCATGTTGGTTTAAAATATGGCTTTATTTTCAAAAGTTGGAGATCCATAAGATTTCACTGGATGCCTGAGCCAGGAGCAGTCCCTTAGAAGTTCAGGTGCTGTTAACACGTGGTGGCTTCGTGGGAGACACTGAACAACACCAGACTTTGAGGCACCACAAGCAACTAATAACTCCTGCCACCTTCTCAAGCTTGTTCTTAGGAATTCACCTGCTCCCCTCCCCCCACCTTTGTTAGCACCACAAATGGCAGATTCCAGAGAACTCCGTCCTCAGGAAAGTTTATGCTGGTGTGTGGAATTTCCTCTGTAGATGGGAGACCCCTGCCAACTGGCCCTTCCCAATCTGGATGGCAGGGCGGCCTCCCCAGTCTGCACCTCCCATGGACAGAAAACCACAGGAGAAGGCTCGCCAGGGGCCCTCGGGGCCACCCAGCCACGCAACTGGACACATACACTTTGTAAGCACTGGTTTCCAACAGATAAATGTAATCAAAGTTTATATGCTCAGAGAAGCCAACAGGATGGGATTGTTTCACTTGAAAGATCAGAAGAAAATTGTAACTAATGTTGTGGAAAATTACTTTGATATTGCTTTCTTGGTACCGAATCACAATTAGGCTGCTGTGAGAAGTACAGGGAAAGAATAAATGAATAGTAACAAATCAACACAAACAGCCTGTGTCAGGAGCACTTTACTTAGGGAAAGTAACGTAAGCATTACTTAAAGTTTTATGACTGTTTGGTATGATTTGCCTAGGACATCACATTTGCCCATCACCTGGCACGTGGAGAGGGCGGCCCAGCTGCATTTACCATCAGAAGAACGTGGCTCCTGGCTAGGTCTGCTGGCTGCAGGGTGACGCTCGCCTCAGTTTCATCCATCCTGCACATCCTGCCTGCCTGAGGCTCCGAGGTCCTCTCTAGGTGGGCATGCCACTCTACCCCAGAAATCCTAGCTGTCCTGTCCCCCCACCCATCCACACATGCATGCACTTGGGCAGCTGTGCAGGACAATGCAGCAGGAACCCACAGCCTGCAGAAGCAAGTGCGCTTCTTTGCAGACAGCAGCAGCACAGCAGGACATGTGTCGTGGCTACTAAACCACAACCCCACCAGGGAATATACCGCCTGTCCCTGGAGTGTACTACAGATGGGCGCAGGTGAACATCACAGATACCCTCATGCCTTCTCTCCCATGCTCCTCCCACAGAATGCAGAGGCTGGACGCCCGGAGCCTCTGCCCGTGTGTGCACCCCCAACCACACACACCAGAACGTGCACCAATGACACACAGTGCCCTTTATCCCAAGCAGTGTTTGAGCGCCCTTTTCCTGAGTTTGCTTCTGCACAGATAACACACAACCATGGGGACCAACTCTCTGTCTGCCTTGATGGCGCTGCCCTGTGGGGCCCTCTTCTGCTGACGCAGTGTTGTTGGCTATTCTAGGGCTTGAGTGAGGCTGCAAAGTCCCCACAGAGGAGCCAGCTCAGTCACATGCACTCACTGCTTCAGGAGCCTGGGAGCAGCCAAACCTACTTTTGACAGCCACCACCTGTGGGGCTCTGGTCCAGGTGTGAATCAGCTCTGATGGCTGGCCCGAAGTCTCCAGGGGGCCCCCAGCCTTGGCTGTCTCTTCCTGACTTTCTGTGATGAAACAGTGAACTTACCATCCTCCTCCTGGCAGAGCCTCTGGCGGCAGCTGCCAGGCCCAGGGCCCCAGCTCTGGCCTCCTGTGTTCCTTCTGCCTTCCCTCCCAGTGCCTGGGGTCCTCAGTCTGTGCTTAGGGCCGCACAGCACAGGGGATCACTCCTGTTTGCAAGCTTGAGCCAGACAGAGCTGCAGGTGGGACTGGGGGAGGGGGTTGCAGCCCTGGGTACCCTTTCCCCCTGCCCAAGGGCTGCTGCCCTAGGCCATGCTCCCCCTCCTGTTCTATGGGCTGCAGACAGGGGTGGAGCAGGAATCCCTCTGCCTCAACCTCCAGTCTCCACTGCTCTTTCATCCTGTCTCTGGTTCACAGCATTGAATAAGTATGTGCATGAGCACCTGCGCATCCCTGGGGAGGAGGGTGACTCTGAGGATGCAGGAGTGCATCCGTGTCCTAGAGCATGTGGACTGTCAGCAGGTGTCTTCGTGGACCCTCCCGCAACAGGGGCCCCTGCTGAGACACACTATTTTCCTCTCCCTGCAAAGCAGAGCACTCCCTGGCCTTGGCCCTGCCTGCTGACACCACTGTGTCTGTCTCGGGGATGCGGGTTGTGTCCCAGCAGAAGGGACCTTACCCAGCTCCCCTCTCCACATTCCATCTGCCCTGAGATGCCAGAACCACCCTTATTGGTCTCCCCTCACTACCATCCCACCTGTGCCCAGCAGACCTCTGCAACTCAGAGAGGGCATCCCCCCAGGCGGAGGTGAATGGGAGGTAACGGGTGGGTGGCCAGTGGGAGAGGGTCTCAGTCTCACAAAGCAAGGTGGTATCCAACCCCTCTGTCCAGACTGGGTTAGATTCAAGAGGTCCCAGAGCTGAGCAGGGAAACTGAATCTCACTTGAGGGCATGGGCTTGGGGAAAAGTTGTCCACCTCTGATATCCCAGACAATGTGGAAGAGGCCCCGAGAGGTGGCAAAATCCTTAAATCTGAGTTTCACCAAAGGCAACAACTAGCTGAACAGATGGGCAGTCTTGCTGTCATCCCCAACAGGGGGCCGCCTGGTTACTGTGCACTGGCGAGACCAGAGGCCAGAGCCCTGAGGCTGGGGGCCTGACATCAGACACAGCATTCCCACATCGAGGTGGAGGCCTGCCAGGGGGAGGCCAGGACCTCTTCTGCCTGCTGAGGGTCTTGGCAAAGACTTTGTCCCATCCCCTAGGCTGAGCACAGCAGCACAGATGTGGAGGCCTGGGCCTCAGGTGGGACCAACTGCAAGGGCTCACCTGGCGCCTGCTGGGGGGCCAGCTCTGTGGGGTCCTGCAGGCTGATGAAGAGGAGGAGGCCTGCAGCTCCGAACAGCAGGATGGATGAGAACATGCAGGCCAGCCGCATGGTTCCGTGTCGTGGGGTCATCCGGGGCTCGCTCCAGGGTCACCTCTAGGGTGTGGGAGGCACGTTCTTCCTTCATTGTCCACACCAGGCATCCATCAGGCGAGGTCTATGGGGCAGAGGGAGAGAAAGGGTCATCATGGAGTTGCAGGGCATCCAGGCAGGTTGAGGTCCTGGATCCCTCTGCTGTCTGGAAGTTACTCAGGTGTGTCTCTTCCACCTGTTCAGGCCCAGAGAGGCTGGGGAGGTCCCATTGCCACCCATGGCCAGGGTTTTCTGTATCTGCAGCCCCAGAAAAACCATGGAGACAGACACTGGCCCTGCCTGGGGGACCCCAGTGTGGAGCCCCTAGACCTATCGTTGGTGACCAGCAGCTACCCAACTGCACTGTCCAGGCTCTCTGAGCCTCTAAATGAGCATGTGTACTCCCATGAAGGGGTCTAGGTACAGGTGGGGATCTGGGTCCTTGTCCCTGGCAACTGGCCTGGTGGACAGAGAAGTCCTTGGATTTGTCTCCACCCTGACTCTCCACAGGATGCTGGGCCAATAGTCTCTATGGAGCAGGGACTTTGAGAAGCTACCTCCCCGGCCCAGAGGATGTTCAGGCACAGACTGAGTTCCGTGCCACCAGCCAGAGCTGTCCTCACCGACACTGTCCTCACTGACGAATGGGCCGGCAGGCCCCAGGCCCCATAGCATAGTCACACCAGTGGGAGTGGGAGCCCTGGCTGGGTCATGGTTGTCCCTGCACTTCAGGCTCAGCGGCTGGGCGCTAATATCCTTGTGTCCTGCTGATGAACACTTGTTGCTCTGGCTGCTGCAGACTCAGAACATGCCCACAAGACTTGCCCCTCACCCTGGTTCCTCCGGAAGTGAGGAGGAAGGAATTCCCCATAGCCCCAATACCAACCACTGACCCCAACTGGGCCAGATGTTCCCCAAGTCCATTGGTCCAAAGGAAGTCTGCAAATCCCTGCAGTGAGGTAGGGCATGGGTGGAGTAGAAAGAGGGTGCTGAAGAGTTCACACAGGCAGCTGTGTGGGACAGGCAACAGGTATCTCAGAGCCCTCCCCTTCAAAGAAGGGTCAGTCTGTGCCCTTACCTTCACCCAGTGCTACTGGTCCAGACCCAGGAAACCACCCTCTTTCCATGCAAGGAGCCCTGGGGAAAACTTCCCGCACCCCGGCACAGGGCAGTGCCCAAGGGAGGTGAGCCAGATGGGCAGCTCCCAACAGCCTCTGAGATCACATTTACATGACTGGTCAGACCCAAGACCAGATGTGCTGCTCAGCACAAGACATTTCCCTACCCAGGTGCAGGGAAATGCAGGTGCAGGTTTGACTCATCCCAAACCTGGCACCTGGGCACTGGGGGGAGAAGCCCCACTGTTGTCTCTGTGTGTAGCCCATGGAGCATGAAGCAGAAAGCGATGAAAAGAGGAGACCTCCCCCTTCCCCTGCCCAGAAAAACATTCCCCAGGATTGTTTCTCAGAAAAGCTCAGGGGCTGAGGAGTGTAAATTGCAGGTTTGGGTTTCTCCCCTCTGCAGTCACTGTAATTATTTTTTCACTCAGTTAACTTTAATTAACCTGCCCCAGGCCTCTGCACACTGGGAACGTGCCTGATTCTGGGCTCTCTGGACTGTGCCGAACAGGTGGTTCCCATGACCTCCCAGCTTTTATGTTGGCGAGGCGGCACTGAGCCAGATTCGCTTTGTCTCGAGCTGGGTCCGAGGTTTCGGGAGCCTAACCTAAGCTCACTGCAATGGCCCCTGCCCCAAAGAAAAATTGCTGCTTCCTGCCATCAACCAGGGCCACCTCTTCCCTGCTTGCAGTGGGGAAATTGACAGCTAGTGTCCCCAAAGGCTCAGGCCCTGAACCCCTCATGTGGGACCAGGGCCTCTCATTCCATGGCTGTCCTGGATGGGACTGTCCTGGGGGTCTAGATCAGTGTCCTCCAAAGGCACCGATGTAGCAGCGCAGGCTCCAGGCCTCACTGAAGGATGAGGCCATTTTCAATGCTGCTCACAGCAGGCCCCAATACCTTGCAGTCTCCCAAGCCCTTCCCTCAGTGACAACAGGCACGGCATGTGGAGACCTGGGCCCATGGGTGCAACCCTGAGGTCCTGGGGAAGTGTGAGTGACTGATGGGGGAGGCAGGGCTGTTCTCTCTGACCCTCACTCCGTCCCTCTACAAGCAGTTGGCTTAACCCCTTGGGATGGCCAGGCACATTATACACTGATGCAGTGGGGACAAGGCTCTTGGATGGGGTGCAGGGGAGGCAGTTCAAGGCCTCTTTGGAACAACTGCTGCTGCGTGGACATGCTCACATGCACACCCTGCCCATGGACTTGAGCAGGCGCAAGTGCACTAACACATGTAAACATATGTGCCCTGGCGCATGCCTGCACACACATACCAGTGATGGTTCCCAGTAATGCCCCAGCTGTAAAGAACCATCACAAAGCACTGATTATGCTGGCCATGGTGTGAGCACCCTTCCTGCAGCCACGTTGGCCTCCTGAGTCAGACACCAGGAGGCCAGTTTAATCTAGGGTGGCCTCCGACATCAAGACATTTTGTAAGGAGGGAGAGAGGAAGGAGAGAAGAAGGAGAGAAGAAAGGACAAATTAATGGCCAGGGCATAGAGCTGCCTGGTAAAATGCTAATATAGTGTCTCCCAATATCCGCCCGAAGACTCTATTTGACAAACAAAGGGGACTCAGAGCATGTGTGATTATCATCTCATTGTTTGTTCCAAAGCTGGCACTGCAGAAATGGCTACAGAAGAGCTGGTCAGTCCCCTCTTCTCCCCAATCTGTCATGCTGTCACAGTTTGAGCCAGTACAGTCTCCCTTATCAAAGACTAAATGGGTCCTGCAGCCACAACCTGTCCTCATTTGTTTCTGAATGTGTCCACACCAAACCCACCACATGTAGCCAGGCTCTGGCTGCCAGGACGAGGACCACACCCCAGCCCCCAAAATCCAGTGCAGAGGAGAACACAGCCCCAGGACCTGCACCTGCACGGTGGCCGGAGCATCAGCTGTTTGCGGTTCTCATTTCTAAGAACTTCGCCTTTGTTGGTCCCCCAAGAGAACACAAGCACCCTGTCCACACCCAGGGAAGCAAGCATTAGAGCTGCATGTGGCTCCCACTGTCCAGCCCCTAAGCCCCAGCCTTTCCCTCTGGGACCCTCCTCTCTGCATTTACTCTCACTGGGGACCATCTGAACAGCAGGAATCAAAAGGTTAGAATGCCTCTCTGCCTGCGTAACTGGCTTGCAGTCTGGCTGGGTCTTCAATGCCCCAGGAAGGAGCCAACATCCTGGAATCTGTAGGAACCTACTTTCCCCAAAGGTGGAGGGAGGAAGAGAGCCACCGACAGACCACCAAGCACTCCAGAGTGTGCACATCTGGTCCTCTATTGTTCCCGAGGGTCCTGTTCTTCAAAGTTACCTGTTATTTTTAAGGCAATGGGGAGATGCTGGTCCAAAGGCTGTTTGTCTCCCTCTCCTGGGTGCTGCTGCCTGGGGAGTGGACCTACAATCTGTCACAAGCTCTGGACTGGCTGCCCAGGGGCCCTGTAAAAACATTCACAAGCTTCTGCTCCCACCTGGAACTGTCCCATCCTCACCACAGAGTGCATCACACTCAGTTCCAATGACAAGGGCAAAACCTCCCTTCACCTCCCCGCATCCCTTCCAACACCAACAGACAATAAGAAAATTCAAATGACTGGGGGTGGGGTGGGGGGACAAATTAAGGCAAGAAAAATAAACAGCTCTGTTGAGTTTCTGGAGGCTCCTGCCCTCATAATTCCTAGTCCTCCCAGAGGCTTCACTCCCAGAGGCCTGAATGGCGTCACCGATTTTTACTTTAAGGAAAAAAAAAAAAAAAAGATCCAATTAATCTTGTAAACACCTCCTGGGACCCAGGGCAAGATCAAGGATTCCTCCCATTTCCTTATTTATTTGATTTAAAAATTTGTCTGTTTGGGGAAATTCACTTCAGGGCACAAGCAAGGACTTGGGATTTCAGCAAAAACACACGCACCTCCAGTGGCGACGAGCCGGTGGGTGGACGGATGCACGGACGGCTCCGAGGACACGCTAGGCTGTGGTTACTCCAAGGCCTGGACGCTGGCCCCAATCACCCAGAAGATCCCCTCTGGCTGTGAGGAACTGCCCCTGAGCCCCACTCCAGACAGCATGGGTGTGCCCACGTGGTCAGCCAGCCCTGGGCCCAGGAAAGTTCTCTGTCTGGTCAGTCTCCTCCTTGCATGGGCAGGAGCGAATAATGACGTCCCTCCCAGCTGAGGGCTCCAGGAGAAGCTGCTCATCGGGAGAGAGGCTGCTATGGCAACTTGAGAAGAATGGAGCCAGGCACTGCCGTCACCTTGAATCCGGCACCGAGCCTCTGCTGCGGCAGCAGAGGGACCCTTGTGCGTGGCTTGCCCCCGCCACAGCCGGGCACCGGCAGCTGACCCCCAGCTTCTCTCCTCAGCCTCCTGGCCTTGGGAACTCATCTGCTCCTCCCCGAACAGAACACACAGCCCAGTCCCCTGAGAGCACCACCTCCATCTGCTTTGTCAGACTAGTTCTTCCGTGTGTGCGGCTCCTGCTTACTTCTGAGATGGGGCTCTTCTTGATTTCAGCTCATTAAAATCCTGCAGCTAATTAAAACCGCTCTAATGGCAGCAGCGGCAGCAGCAAACTCTGAGACAAGTCCCTCCAGTTTTTATGCGTAGGCATAAAGTTGCAATGCTCTGCAAGGATGAAGGATGGCCGCAAGTGCTTAGACTGTGAGGCAGGGCTGCAGACTCAGAATTGCTCCTGCTCTGGCCAGGCGTGGGGCAGGGTGGGGCAGGGGGAGGGCGCTGGCCAGGGTCCTGAAACCTCAAGGTCCAGCCTGAGCACACCCAGGCCTGAACAGCTGCACCCCACTCCTGGGGGAGACAATTTCCCTACTGTCCATTCCCCTGTTACAAGGCAGGATTCTCTCTAATCCTCCTGTGCTCTCTACAGAGGGGAGAAATTACATCCTAGGGTGGAGGCAAAGGCATAAATCAGGCCCATATGTCCCCAAAGACTTGTCCCCAAGGCCCCACT